ACATGGAAATAATGTCATTATTTTGATATCAGTTATTATTATTAAAATAATAATTTTTAAAGTAACAAAAATATCAATATATTAAATATATTTATTATTTTTTGTAAGTCTAAACTATGAAATGCAAAAAAACGTGTATGAAATTAGACATTCTTTCAAATTGTTGCTTAATCAGTAAACAATAGCCATTAAACAAACTTATATAATTGTGGTGTCAACAGCAATCTGTCACCTAATTAGTTGTATAAACACCAAGACTATCCACTAACAGTTTTACATCACTATTAAACAGCAGTTGTTAGCATTAACAGTTTACTAATCAGTTGTTTATTGAACCATTGAAATTGTTTTCAGACAACAACCGCATATAAGAAATGTTTTGGAAACAGAAACTTCTCCAAAAGTTTAATTTTAAATATATAACCAAGGTAAAATAATATTAAATCAGATAAGATATAGATAAATTATGTAAGATGATTTTCAAAGATTTATCCAATCAAGTAAAATAAAAAAAACTTAAATAATTATGAAACATAAACTTGGAGTATTGAGATGAATTGAAATGTAATCCCTTTAAGTACTTGAATTCATTTTTATTTAATTTAAGTTATATTTTACTATATCACAAGTATCCGAATAATGTTGGTATAAATAGTGAAACGTCTTGAAGTCATTTGGTAGTAAATCGTCTTGGTGTGAACCGTCTGTGAAAAGTCTGTCTACCGGGGCGTGCGACCCAGTACTTGTGACATTACTCGCTACCAGAAACATATCGTGGTGAACGGTAAAACAAAAATACAATTTCGTGAAAATTTCCAGTATTCAAAATAAGCGCCAGTCCAAGGCCCGAGGTCACTGAATTTTGCATCAGTCCGCTGATTATTGCAAGGTTGGTGGTTCAATGGGCCACCAGTTTTTTTTTTTGCCATGAAAAGGTACCTCCAGGAAATTTCATCAAGAAAATGAGGCAGGGCTGGTTCTCATAAAATAAATCTGTGTGCTTATTTTGCAAATAAAACCAATCAATTTCAGTCCTAAATGTTCAAAACACATGCAAGAGAGATGGCTAAATTGTATTCAGTAATGGAGGTCGTCATTCTTTCTTGGATATTTTCCGTACCGCACCGTACAGTTAAAGGAACTCCACTGAGCTTTATAAGCCTAAAAACATTTAATTTTAATTTTTCATATAGATAAACAAGAACACTTAAAACAGAAATATAAATAAAATATAGTCAAGACATATACAAGATTGAAGAAATACATTGAAAATCATATACATGTATAAATTTGTGCTATTCTCAGTCCGATTTGATTGAAAAGCGTTTTTGCACATAAGTTATTAGTATAGATCTACATCAAATGGAGTAATAATCTTAAAAAATTATTTCCAGTCCCATCATGTCAAAAAACCTCAGTGGAGTCCCTTTAAGGAAATTACACCATTATTAAACTATCATGATTTTGTTATTATTGATAAAAGTAAGATATTTTGAGTGAAAATGGTTTGTGTGTAGCAAACTGTGTCATGTATTACTAATGCACTTGTGTTAAATAAATTATTTAGCATTATTACCTGATACCTTATATAAATGTAATTTGTTATTATTTACTGTTTTCTGAAATTCTAAAAACGTCAACGTTCTCGAACTGTTGACGGTCAATAGTTTCGACTGTTTCCCTCTCGTGCTCCTCTATGACGTCATTGATCTTGATCATGAACCAGACGTGACGTGACATAGTTAAGATATTTATTTTAATTATTAACATATGTGCAAAACAATTTGTTGTTCCTTTTTTCTTCTGCAAATAGTGTTAAAACAGTAGTTGATCAGGTAATAAAACAGTTACTGCCCTTCCACCTCGGGCCAACAGTTTGACTGTTCCCCAATCACATATGAAATAACTGTATACTATTGTTAAATAAATTATTTACAAATAAATTATAATACAGTCGACTCCATTTATAACGAACTCGCTTATAACGAAATATCGTTAATAGCGAACTAAATCTGACATCCCCGGCCGGTTCCTTCTTTATCTTATATGAAATCACATCGCTTAATACGTACTCGCTTATAGTGAATTTTCGGCTATAACGAACCATTTTTTCAAGTCCCAAATGACGGAAAACATTTAAAATTCCTCGGTTATAACAAACTGTTATAATTGAAATATCGGGATGCGCTCGATTAGGATCAATACATGAATAACACTATAAATGAGGCCATTATTTTTTGATATTTCGGTTTACAGACCCGCCGACTCTGTATTTTGGGAAAATGAAAAAAAAAAAAATCTGCCCCAAAAAAATTCAGTGGTGTCTTGAAATACGCTGCTAATAATCCGACTTGTCAAAGAAATGTCGCGGTAAGTATTTTAATTAATTGTTAAACCTACCACATGCCAGACTATTTTACCTACGATTTATACACGCAACCTGTTATCTTTACTTGAGAATAGCCTGTCGTCTGCTAGTTGGGCAAAGTGTTTATTGGTGTATTATGAAAGAATGTCTGTTAAATGGGGTCAAGCCATTCTCACAGAATTATAATTAGGCTTTGATCATATTTCATCAATGCATTGAAGGTCGAAATGCGTAAAAATGTAAAACAACCAAACAAAAAAACACGCCAAATTACGTAAGCAATTACATTCAAGGACAGAGCGAGAGAAATCTGCTGCAATTGACAAGATCAGTATTTTCAGATTTAACAAAAAAAATTAGTCTTTAAAAGCAGATTGAATACAGGTTTCAAACAAACAAAATAAAAAAAATGCCTGCACTTACTTTTAATAGATTTTTATGTCAAAACTTGACCCGCTAATTATCCGATAAAAATATTTTCACAATGGGCAAACTTGAACATGACTTTGTGTAATCTTTTCTTGACAGTTTTTTTTTAACAACTGATCTATAAAGAAATGAGTGCAAGTCAGCTGATTTTCGGCACCTTTGATGATTCAGATTACACAGCAGTGTGTAAACATCAAAGAATGACAGATTCTTTTGAAGAGCTCGCTTGCCACTTGTCATAAGTCGTTGTGTGTAGATTTCATGTGTGTTTTTAAACAATGACAAAATGAGCAAAAGTTTTTTGTGTGTATTTAAACAATCTTTGGAATAGACAATTAGCGATGTATTTAATTTCATTGCTCTAGTTAGTACTATGTATATGTATGCACCACATTTATAGTTATGAAAACTTTTTTTTTTTTTCCCGCCGCCGACCCTACCTTTTTTTGGAAAAAATCAGTAAACCAAAATATAAAAAAAAATTGGCCTGATTAAACAATCGAATGATTGCACAGGTTAGTTATGGCTTCAGGGAATAAAGATTTTGAAAAATGTTCTCACAACATAATTTCCTACTTGTTACGGAAAATTTGTATTTCACACCCTTAGTTGATTGATGTAAATACCCGATAAGTACCGCCTCCGTGGTCGATGGGTTAGAGTCGATGACTTCTAATTCAGGTACCTCTCTGGCGTGGGTTCGATCCCCGGGAGATGCTTTGGTAGTTTAGCGCGGAGGAAGGTAGTCTAGTACTGGTGTAACTCTCTAGGAAGGATGGTTAGGAAACTACCCGCCTATATGACTGAAATACTGTTGGAAAAAGGCGTAAAATTAAACAAACAAACAAACAAGCCAAGTAATTTTTTGTGTTTGCAATATTAACCAAAAGATAATAAACAAATAGCAAAAGAAAACAAATGGTAAGAACTTCATAGACAATCAATACATGAATAAATGTATGTACCATGTGAAGAATATGGCTTTTTCAAGGCAAATTTTTCCATACAAACAAGTCAGCAAGTTGTTGTTACTTCGCTTTTAGCGAACTTCGGATATAACGAACGATATTTCAATGTCGGAGTCGACCGGAGTCGACCGGAGTCGACTGTAGTAAATTTAAAAGACAAAAACATATATATGACCTAGTATGCTTACAAAATTATGTATTAACTTCTTTTAATAAAACATGTAATGTTTTATTAAATATAATAATCATGCATTTTCATCATTCTAAATATCTTTTATAGAATCAAAATAATGTCTTAAAGCTTTGATTTTTTTTCTTTTGCTTACAATACAAATTTGTCTTCAAAATGTAGAGAGGAAGAACTCATGAAGCTTTACATCAAAAATGAGTAAGTTCATATTCGTTTCCACATTCATTGTTGATCTATAAATAGTAAACTAAGACACGTCTGCCTAAACATAAGGTCTTTAAAGAATTTTCAAAGCTGTCAATATATGGCCCAGAATACAAGAAGTAATATGCTTCTTTCAAAATTATCAAGGGAAGCATGATTAAGTGGTTTCCTTTACCCATCAATTTATTACTTCTCTACGTATTTGGTCCAGCTAAAGATGACCAGGTCTTGTAAGATTAAAAATTTTACTGGGCCGAATGTCCTGTGATTTTTAAAGTTTTTTGCAATAAAGCTTCGACTAGATGTAGATCTGGATCACGAGGCGCTTGACGAGAAGGCAAACAATTCCATAAAAATAAAGGGCCCCGTGATTTTGTAAGACACAATACACAAATTGGCATATACATAGTAATATCACCCGCACTGTAGGTGATATATTTGGATGAAATCGCAGGGACATGAAGAGGTAGTTTCTTAAAATTTGCTACCGTGTCCAAATGTGTTTATGTTTTTGTTACTTTTGAAAAACACACTAACAAATGACTTAAAATTTAATGCTGACCATATAATCATTATTACTTTTTATGTTTGTGCAATTAAAAAATAAAATAAATTAAGTTTAAAGCATTGTATCTTTTCCAGGTTTCGAGCCCCATAAATTGAATTGAGATTATAAATGAAATTACATGTATATGTGATCAATTACGTTACATAAAAAATATTACATAAAAAATATGTTACAAGTTACACAAATTCTATATGCATTTTTTCATCTGGAAATTATTTCATACATGTATTTTATTTTTATATATTAACATATCAACCTTTGTCCTCAGGTAATTCTTAAACAGTGATATCATGGCATCTTCCTACAACAATTCCTCTGAGGAACAAACAGAACTACGCAGACTTCACATTAAACTTATCTCTGAAATTAACGATGATTTAGATCAAAATAGCATAGAGTATGAAAAATTATTTTTTCATTTCGGAACATATGTGCCTTCAGGATTAATTGCCAATAAATCAAGTCTAGATAAACTTAAAACTTTATGCACCAGAAACATCATTACACCAGGAGAAAATTATGAAAAATTGAAACAGATATGTCGAGACAGTGGAAATGATACTCATGTAAATACAATAGAAAAATATGAAAAGGAAATGGAAAAAGTTCGAACTCGACATAGAAATACAGGTATGTACAAATAGAAATTCAAGTTTATCTGAAAGAATGTTTTTATTCAGTTTGGAATTTAATACATGGAGATATCAATTTTGAGTGCATTTTTAAAGAATTATGCATGGTTAGCATTCAAATGCGCAGGGAGCATAATCACAAAGACCGATACTCCGGAGTGATTTATTACAAAGCATTTGAACAATAATCCATGCATTATGATATTATAATATAGAACAAATAACATATATTTCCTCTAATACATTAAAGGAATTTATAAGAATATGCAAAAATTATATTGAGGGTAATGATATTGTCACTGACGTCATTTAGTTCATTGACGTCATATATGACATCACATAACCTATTTTTAGTCCCCTACCGGTTTACCGGAGGGGACTTTAGGTTTACCCTCCGTCCGTCTGTCCGTCTGTCTGTCTGTCTGTCCGTCTGTCCGTCCGTCAGTCCGTCCGTCCACAAAACTGGATCCCGCGATAACGCAAAAAGTACTGAAAATATTTTAATGAAACTTGATATATGGATAGATGGCAGTATGGAGATTATGCACGTCTTTTTCTTTTCTTCCTATGTTGAAAATTCTGGTTGCTATGGCAACAAATAGACTGAAAATATGGCAAATTTTACACATAACCTGGATCCCGCGATAACGCAAAAAGTACTGAAAATATTTTTATGAAACTTGATATATGGATAGATGGCAGTATGGAGATTATGCACGTCTTTTTCTTTTCTTCCTATGTTGAAAATTCTGGTTGCTATGGCAACAAATAGACTGAAAATATGGCAAATTTTACACATAACCTGGATGCAGTGATAACACAAAAAGTACTGAAAATATGTTTATGAAACTTGACATATGGGTAGATGGCAGTATGGAAATTATGCACATCCTTTTTTATCTTCCTATGTTGAAAATTCTGGTTGCTATGGCAACAAATAGACTGAATTTCAAGATTTCTGATTCTAGTTTTTAAGTTTTTTCACTATAAATTCTTTATTTCTTAAGGTATTTTCTTCAAACTTTAAATATAAGTTGCTTGTCATCAACCACATCATATGTGACAAGGTTTACAACTCTAGCACAAAATTTATCAGAATTACCTCCCTTGAACTTAAAATTTCATGAAAAAAACATTGTTTTTTTTTAATAACTTCTTTTTCTGAATGTATCTACTTCAAACTTCATATAAATGTTTCTTATTGTCACTCAACATTTGTGAGTGTTCAATACTCTAGCAAAACTATTTCCAGAATTATGCCCCTTTTGAACTTAGACTTTTTTTGAGAAATTGGTAATTTTTACTCCAACTTCTTCAATCATGATAGGATTTTAAAAATGTTATATTTTGATAACAGGGATGTTTAAAAAAATAACTTTAGAGTGTCCTTCAGTCCGTCTGTCTGTACATAAAAACTGTTTCCTGTGATCACTTTTAAAGAACTTTTTCATCAAATTTACTTAAAATAGGAACCTAAGTGAATGGCCAATGGCCCTTCAGAATGTTGCTTGGGCTCTTACCGGTAGGGGACTTATGGATTGCTTGCAATACTATGATAATTGCTTGTTTGTATATGTATTGCGTTTTCATACCTATGTTACCATATTTAGTAACAAAATCTAGGGTATTTCAGGGCCATTATGGCAAGATCTAGGTCATTATGCAATTTTGCCGCCTTGCTACTCGGCATTATTTTTCCATAATGGGCGAGTGAATGAGCGCACATGCAGAATGACGTCATCAACTTTCAAGATGACTGCTGACGTTGAATGAACTGTAGTCACTTGTACACATTTTTTTTTAAAGTTTAAATGACATAATTTATCACAATCAGCAAGCTTATCATTGAAGATTTATAAACTCAAGAAAATAGACCTCAGAAATTCCAAATATGATTTAAGATTGACTGTACGAAAAGGTCGGAGCCTAGACAGTCTCAGAAACCATTTTTGATGGCACAAAACTTCATAAAAAAACTAGCACTAGATCTAAATGTGATTCTCACAAAAAAATGTGAAGAGTAGGGTTCTGTATTATTGATAGAAATAACAATATATAACAACATTTTCTTATATTTATTTTGTGTTGTCTTGTTTTCTAAGTTAATCGGAGTGTCAAACTGTACAGTATGATAGACATTTGTTCACATTGACATAGAAAAGGTGACAATCAAGATTAGCGGCAATGTCTAAACGTTGTATTTCGGATATAGGTATTAAAGACGTTAATACTTGGTTGCTGCTCGCCATTATGCGATAATGGCCCTCGAGTACATAATGTCCTTCGGACCTGCGGCCCTCAGGCCATTTTGCACATCTTCGGGCCATTATCGCATAATGGCGAGCAGCAACCAAGTGTTAACCTTTAAATAATATACTTGATTGTCCTATCTGTTTGAAAGTAAAATAGTACGAAGCGTGTTAGAATAATATTTTTTTTTCTGTAGTTGGCTTTTAATTTGTTATAAATGACTCGATCGACATCATATTATAACAGAACATTCTTTAAGATAAGACATTTATAAAAATTTAACTAAAACTTACCTTGGCTCTTTAATGACCTTGATGGTCAATTAATTAAAGGATCATCTGCAAATTTAAAAAAAAAAAATAAACAGGACCTTCTAAAGGATTAAACTGATCAAGATCTTGAGCTTTAAATGACCTTGACCGTCCAAGTCAAATTATTGAATTTTGGTTTTAATTATCATAATTTTGTTATTTGAGTTATTTAGGGTTTGATTCAAACTTGGACAAAACAAGACTTGCTACCAATTAAACGTAAGGAATGATTTAGATGTGACCTTGATCTTTAATCTTGTGATTCCGTTATTGATAAATGAACATCATATTAGGTCACAATATCAAAAAAGCCAGGACCTGAATGTATATCAAACTCAAATTGACCTTGACGCATGTATGACCCTGACCTTGATGATCAAAGTATTTAATCTTTACTGATGATTTGTATAATTCGTTGTACTTGTAACCAATGGTTTTTATACGCCCGTTTGAAAAACGGGACGTATTATGGGAACGCCCCTGGCGGGCGGTCGGGTGGGCGGGCGGGCGGGCGGGCGGCGTCCAATTTGTCCGGAGCATATCTCCTACATGTATGGAGGGATTTTAATGAAACTTCATATATAAATGTTCACCACTATGAGGAGCAGTGTCGCGCACATGAACCAGGTCTCTAGGTCAAAGGTCAAGGTCACACTTAGAGCTCATTGAAAAATGCTTGTCCGGAGCAAAACTTCCACATGTATAGAGGGATTTCAATATTACTTGGCACAAATGTTCACCATTGTGAGGCGGAGTGTCGCGTGCAAGATTCAGGTCCTTGCGGCCAAGGTCAAGGTCACACATAGAGGTCAAAGTTCAGATAAAAATATGAAAGATGTGTATATGGACCATTTAGTCATCATTTATTGAGGGATTGTAACACAAATGGTCATTATCAAGACTATGGCTGTGATACATATAATTTAGGTCAATATATACAAGGTCAAGGTCACTAAAGATGATGAAATATCCAGATTTTGTAAATAGAATTTAATCAAAGGGAGACAACAAAGTTATTACTTTGTTCATAAATGACTTACACAATTACTCCCTTGATCTATTTTCTAAAAATAGAATTTTAATCAAAGGGCATGAAATAATCCTCTTTCTTGGACTTGAGTATGTTGTAAGGAATGTAATATTTATTTACACATGTTTCATTCATTGGTCAAGATACTTAACTGTGATAACTATGGTGTTCTGTAGACTTGGTATTTGTTCATAACGATCATACAGTAATTACCTTATCAAATGTAAATACTTTCTCATAGAAATTTAATTATATTTTAATTTTCAAGTAAATATCAGTTCAGCTCATTCAAAGATTAAGAATTGTAATGAAATGTATTTCCCTAGAATAAAATCTTAAATCAGAATTTTTTAGTTATTAAATTACATGTACTTTTTATACGCCCGTTTAAAAAAAGATAAAAATATGAAGATGTGTATAGGGACGATTTAATCATCATTTATTGAGGGATTGTAACACAAATGGTCATTATAATGACTACGGCTGTGACACATGTACTTTAGGTCAATATATGCAAGGTCAAGGTCACTAAAGATGGTGAAATATCCAGATTTTGTCTGGAGCATATCTCCTACATGTATGGAAGAATTTTTAGCTCGACTTTTCTATGAAAAGGGGAGCTATCCTACTCGCCCCGGCGTCGGCGTTAGCGTTAGCGTTAGCGTTGGCGTCACACCTTGGTTAAGTTTTTCGTACCACCCCACTTTATTTCAGAAGTATTACAAGTATGGCTTTGAAACTTACCATACTTGTTCACCATCATAACCTCCATCTACAGACAAGAGTACATAACTCTGTCAAGGTTTTTGACAGAATTATGGCCCTTTTTTGACTTAGAAAGTGTATTGAGCTTGGTTAAGTTTTTTGTACCACCTCACTTTATTTCAAAACCATTGGAGGTATTGCTTTGAAACTGACCATACTTGTTTACCATCACGACCTTCATCAACAGACAAGAGGACATAACTCTGTCAAGGTTTTTGACAGAATTATGCCCCTTTTTGACTTTGAAAATACATTGAATATGGGTAAAATCCACTTATTGCCTTAACCCTTTGAGATATTGCTTTGAAACTGACCATACTTGTTTACCATCACGACCTTCATCAACAGACAAGAGGACATAACTCTGTCAAGGTTTTTGACAGAATTATGCCCCTTTTTGACTTAGAAAATACATTGAATATGGGTAAAATCCACTTATTGCCTTAACCCTTTGAGATATTGCTTTGAAACTGACCATACTTGTTTACCATCACGACCTTCATCAACAGACAAGAGGACATAACTCTGTCAAGGTTTTTGACAGAATTATGCCCCTTTTTGACTTACAAAATACATTGAATATGGGTAAAATCCACTTATTGCCTTAACCCTTTGAGATATTGCTTTGAAACTTTTAATGCTATTTCACATCATTACCCCCATCTGTACGCAAGAGAAGGTAACTCTGTCAAGGATTTGTTTTAAAAATTAAGGCCTTTTATCGACTTAGAATCTTGGTTAAGTTTTTAGTACCAGTCCACTTTTTGACTGAACTGTTTGAGATATTAATTTGAAAGTTGGAATACTTGTTTACAATCATGATTCCCAAACATGTCCAGGAGAAGGTAATTCTGTCAAAGATTTTATTTGAATTATGGCCCTATTATGCTGATTGTACAAAAATATACTGCTTCCTTGGCATAGATTTCTTGAAAAATTATGTTATTATGTCATTTACCAAGGTGTTCTGAGTGACGTAAAAATACCTTATTCTCTCAAAGTGGGTTTAATACTATTAAATTTATTTAAGGCTCAACTCAGTTTTTTTTTCTTTCTTACCAGCCCTCTTTTGACTTAAACATTTCAAACTTTGCTGCAGTGTTCAAGGGTATCACACAATTCAGTAAAATAATTCTTCACTAAATATCTTAATGCTCATGGCCATTGTTCACTTTAAAAATACAGAGATTCTTGTATTGCCTTTTACTGCAAAAACTTTTTTTATTGGCAAGCAATAAAAAAGTCGAGCGCGCTGTCTTACGGACAGCTCTTGTTATAATACTTTATGGAAATGCTCACCACCATGATATGTATTGCTCCATGCATGATCCAGGCCTCCAGGTCAAAGGTCAAGGTCACACTTAGAGCTCATTGAAAAACGCTTGTCCGGAGCAAAACTTCTACATTCATAGGGGGTTTTCAATATAACTTGGCACAAATGTTCACCATTGTGAGGCTGAGTGTCGCATGCAAAATTCAGATCCCTGCGACCAAAGTCAAGGTTACACATAGAGGTCAAAGTTCAGATAAAAATTTGAAGATGGTTATATAAATAGGGACCATTTAGTCATCATTTATTGATGGATTGTAGCACAAATGGTAACTATCATGACTACAGGTGTTACACATTTAATTTAGGTTAATATTTGCAAGGTCAAGGTCACTGGAGATGATTAAATATCCAGATGTTGTCCGGAGCATATTTTCTACATGCATGGAGGAATTTTAATGTTACTTTTATAGAATTGTTCACCACCATGAGACGTAGTGCCCTGCACATAAACCAAGTCTCTAGGTCAAAGGTGAAGGTCACAGTTAGAGCTCATAGAAAAACACTTGTCTGGAGCAAAACTTCTACATGCATAGAGGGATTTCAATATAATTTGGCACAAATGTTCATCATTGTGAGGCTGAGTGCCGTGCATAAAATTCAGGTCCCTGCGACCAAGGTCAAGGTCACACATTCTGTGCATATCTTCCCTATTGATTTGTTTTAAGGTTCATTTAACAACACATTGCCAAGAATAAAAACTTGCTTGCTAGATAACACTTATCCATAATGCCCCCATCTCCATCTAAAGCTTTTTCGTAAACGGGCGTATTTTGTGACTATGGCACCCTTGTTAATCAATGGATTATTTTCATACTTAGACAAAACAAATTTTAGGATTTGAATCACACGCTGAATAAACAACACTTGTGACCAACCAGACATGATTGTATATTAATTAAGATATGTTATGATGTTTAAATGACATTGACCATTAAATGATTGAATTTTGATTATATAGAGGATATTGAATGAGTGTAGGTTTAATACTAAATTTATTGAACGAGTTGAATAAAATCATATTATGCGAGCCTCTGGCGAGCATAATATTGTTTTATTCAAGGAGTTCAATAAATTTAGTATTGAATCTACACGAATATAATATTCTATTTATCACATATATAAAATTAGAACGGTAAACTGTTATCAAGAGTCATTTTTCTTTGACGCGCCCATAGTGTTTAACGCTAACATTAGCGCGCTTTAACGCTATGTTTATAACGCAAATGACGTGACGTCAAAGTGTTATTACACTAGTGTAATATCGTCTAGTGTAATATCGTTTTTATTAAATGGCTTTATTACACTCCTGCGCCGCGGTTTATGTGATAAAATTGTATATATAACTTTTGTCATTTACAGTTCAGCTCGAGTGTAATGTACAAATTTTTGTGCTTCCTCCGCAATCGACGTTTAAGCGAACTCCTTAATCCCCCCTCGTTTTTCTGAGAGTAATCGCGGAGAAACACCCATGACCACAATCACGGAGTTTTAGAGAGGGTAAAGGTATTATTGCGGAGATTCTCCAAGAAAAACACTATTTATAAGTTGATATTATATTTAAAAATTATCCTTTTTCATTAAAGTACATGTAATTTTCCCTTTCATTAAAAAATATATATTTGTGTTTTGAAATTTGTAGGTCCACAGGAAGCTGAGAAAAAACATACAGACTCAAAAAGAAAATTTACTGCTCTTGAGACAGAACAAAAAGAGGTAGAATGTGTTTCTTTTGCTTTTTATCCCCCTCCGATAGAATCGGGAGGGGGATATAGTTTTGGCGTTGTCCGTCCGTCCATCCGTCCGTCCGAATTTCGTTTCCGGAGTAGTTCTCTGCAACTACTGGCTGGAATTCAACGAAACTTTATGAGAATCATCAATATCAAGAGGAGATGCGCATATCGTCGGCTTGTTCCGGTCCGACCCTTTAACTCAGAGTTATGGCCCTTGATTAGTTATGTAGTATGCATATAGAGTAAAAATCGTTTCCGGAGTAGTTCTCTGCAACTACTGGCTGGAATTCAACGAAACTTTATGGGAATCATCAATATCAAGAGGAGATGTGCATATCGTTGGCTTGTTCCGGTCAGACACTTTAACTCAAAGTTATGGCCCTTCATTAGTTATGCAATATGAATATGGAGTAAAAATTGTTTCCGCACTACTTCTCTGCAACTACTGGCTGGAATTCAAGGAAACTTTATGGGAATCATCAATATCAAGAGGAGATGTGCATATCGTCGGCTTGTTCTGGTCAGACCCTTTAACTCAGAGTTATGGACCTTGATTAGTTATGTAGTATGCATATAGTGTAAAAATTGTTCCCGCACTTCTTCTCTGCAACTACTGGCTGGAATTCAACGAAACTTTATGGGAACCTTCAATACGAAGAAGAAAATGCGCATATTGTCGGCTTGTTCTGGTCAGACACTTTAACTCAGAGTTATGGCCCTTGATTAGTTATGCAGTATCCATATAGAAAAATATTTGTTTCCTCGCTACTTCTTTGCTACTACTGGCTGGAATTCAATGAAACTTTATGGGATACTAAGAGGAGATGTGCATATAGTCGCCTGTTCCAGTCAGATACTTATAACTCAGATTTATGGCCCTTGATTAGTTATGTAGTATGCATACATCTCATTGGCATTTCCAGACTTTACTATTTAACACAAAGTTATGGCTCTGTTATTGCCCTGAATATTTATCAAGTTCAAAGAATATTACTGTTTATGCCATGAATAATATATAAATAAAGCCTTATGTCTTCAGTTGATGTGTTAATAATAACCAGTACTCGGCGGGGATATAAATTCAACGAATTTGCTTGTTTCTGGTTAATATACTGGTACATGTATAACTGTTTGTTTCTGGTTGATATACCGGTATATATAATTATAACAAACAACCATGGTTTAAAAATAACTAATGTTTGAATGGTATACCAGTATTATTAACTTGTTAAGGCACACAATTTGGTTAGCAAGCTTTGTAATTTCATGATGCTCTTTTTACCTCACCTGTCACAAAGTGACAGGATGAGCAATTGTGATCGCTTTTCGTCCGGCGTCCGTCCTTCGTCAATAAACTTTAACTTTAAATGACATCTCCTCATAAACCACTTAGCCAATTTCATCCAAACTTCACAGGAATGTTCCTTTGATGGTCACCTTTGAAAATTGTTCAAAGAATTTAATTCCATGCAGAACTCTGGTTCCCATGGCAACCAAAAGAAAACACTTTAATTTATAATATCTTCTTCTAAAAAATCCAAAGAGCTAGAGCTTAGATATTTGGCATGAACATCTTCTTGTGAGTGTCTACCAAGTTTGTTCAAATAAAAGCCCTGGGGTCAAAATTGCCCCCCCCCCCCCCGGGGGACATTGATTTTCCTTATATGTGTATAGCAAAAACTTAAAAATCTTCTTTGAAAAAACCCGAATAGCTAGAGTTTAGATATTAAGCATGAAACATTTTCTAGTAAGACTTAAGTGTCTACAAAGATTGTTCAAATAAAAGCCCTGGGGTTTAAACTTGCCTTGCTCCGGGGGCCTATATACATGTGAGCGACTTCAGGGCCATCATGGCCCTCTTGTCATTATTAACACAGTAGAAATATTATGGTGATAAATGCTGCAAAATTCATCATTAATCGCATACAACATGTATATTATTTATTCACTTTTTCAGCTTGTTTATTATATTAATATCCAACTCACTTGGATTTTGACATCTGTCCAACACTTTCGGTTAAGTTTTTCAAATCATTATCACCCTGTGGATATTGACAGAATTATGCCCTGTTTTTGAAACATAATTTTTTGTACCACTTCACTTATTTCCTATACCTTTTGAGATTTTTTTTTAAATAATGTGCCCTGATAAAAAACTATTATCCAGACCTGGGGATGATTACATTGATCAGTAATTGATTTAATTACAATGACTTTCACATTTTATTGTGATTGATTATTATTGATTACTCAGACTTGCCTTTGTAATCAATTAAATTACAATTACTTTAAGACTTTGACTATGAATAGAGTAATTGATTAATAATTGATTACATTCAATGTTAAGTAGAATCCCTACTTTTGACCACCCCTGAATTAAGACCACCCCATTATTAAGACTATTTTTTACAAGGTTCTTTATGTCAATGGTTACATGATCCAGAATAAAGAAGAACCGCTTTTCCACTTTAAAGACCACCTGATTCAGTTCAAATTCTTTGCTTTATTCTTAATTTGACCCAACTATTGAGATCACTTATATTAAAGGCAACACTTATCTACATCTTAAATTTGTTGTTGTGATCTGATGATTCTTAATTTCACAAGATGTGAAACACTGTTATTACTGGATCATTGTATTTAATAAGGTGAGAAGATAAATTAAAGAGTGGTTTAATGTTGCTTAAAGCAATTTTATTTTGTGAAGAATTAATTTTTATTGGTAGGTGATTTATATATTATATTTTTTATTTGAGTCTCATCCATACATAACAACATAAAACAATTCAATTACATAATTTAAAAAAAAATAAAAGTTATCTCTGTACGGCCATTCTAATCAGAATTACATTTTATTATTTATTTATTATGTACATCATATTATAATTGATATTGAAATCTGACCAAAGAGAATTTTATGTTAAATTTCTTCAGAAATTATAATGTTTCCCTCTTATCAGATATCAAAGAATACTTTTCTAGTGTCTTTTATATTGTATTTGTAGCTTAAGATACATACCATCTTTTTATACGCCCGTTTGAAAAACGGGACGTATTATGGGAACGCCCCTGGCGGGCGGGCGGCGGGCGGGCGGCGTCCAATTTTGTCCGGAGCATATCTCCTACATGTATGGAGGGATTTTAATGAAACTTCATATAAATGTTCACCACTATGAGGAGCAGTGTCGCGCACATGAACCAGGTCTCTAGGTCAAAGGTCAAGGTCACACTTAGAGGTTATTGAAGAATGCTTGTCCGGAGCAAAACTTCCACATGTATAGAGGGATTTCAATATTACTTGGCACAAATGTTCACCATTGTGAGGCGGAGTGTCGCGTGCAAGATTCAGGTCCTTGCGGCCAAGGTCAAGGTCACACATAGAGGTCAAAGTTCAGATAAAAATATGAAGATGTGTATATGGACCATTTAGTCATCATTAATTGAGGGATTGTAACACAAATGGTCATTAGCAAGACTATGGCTGTGATACATATAATTTAGGTCAATATATACAAGGTCAAGGTCACTAAAGATGATGAAATATCCAGATTTTGTAAATAGAATTTAATCAAAGGGAGACAACAAAGTTATTACTTTGTTCATAAATGACTTACACAATTACTCCCCTTGATCTAAAAATAGAATTTAATCAAAGGGCATGAAATAATCCTCTTTCTTGGACTTGAGTATGTTGTAAAGAATGTAACATTTATTTACACATGTTTCATTCATTGGTCAAGATTCTTAACTGTGATAACTATGGTGTTCTGTAGACTTGGTATTTGTTCATAAAGATCATACAGTAATTACCTTATCAAATGTAAATACTTTCTCATAGAAATTTAATTATATTTTAATTTTCAAGTAAATATCAGTTCAGCTCATTCAAAGATTAAGAATTGTAATGAAATGTATTTCCCTAGAATAAAATCTTAAATCAGAATTTTTTAGTTATTAAATTACATGTACTTTTTATACGCCCGTTTAAAAAAAGATAAAAATATGAAGATGTGTATAGGGACGATTTAATCATCATTTATTGAGGGATTGTAACACAAATGGTCATTATAATGACTACGGCTGTGACACATGTACTTTAGGTCAATATATGCAAGGTCAAGGTCACTAAAGATGGTGAAATATCCAGATTTTGTCTGGAGCATATCTCATACATGTATGGAAGAATTTTTATAATACTTTATGGAAATGTTCACCACCATGATATGTATTGCTCCATGCATGATCCAGGTCTCCAGGTCAAAGGTCAAGGTTACACTTAGAGCTCATTGAAAAACGCTTGTCCGGAGCAAAACTTCTACATTCATAGGGGGTTTTCAATATAACTTGGCACAAATGTTCACCATTGTGAGGCTGAGTGTCGCATGCAAAATTCAGATCCCTGCGACCAAAGTCAAGGTTACACTTAGAGGTCAAAGTTCTGATAAAAATTTGAAGATGGTTATAGGGACCATTGAGTCATCATTTATTGATGGATTGTAGCACAAATGGTAACTATCATGACTACAGGTGTTACACATTTAATTTAGGTTAATATTTGCAAGGTCAAGGTCACTGGAGATGATTAAATATCCAGATGTTGTCCGGAGCATATTTTCTACATGCATGGAGGAATTTTAATGTTACTTTTATAGAATTGTTCACCACCATGAGACGTAGTGCCCTGCACATAAACCAAGTCTCTAGGTCAAAGGTGAAGGTCACAGTTAGAGCTCATAGAAAAACACTTGTCTGGAGCAAAACTTCTACATGCATAGAGGGATTTCAATATAATTTGGCACAAATGTTCATCATTGTGAGGCTGAGTGCCGTGCATAAAATTCAGGTCCCTGCAACCAAGGTCAAGGTCACACATTCTGTGCATATCTTCCCTATTGATTTGTTTTAAGGTTCATTTAACAACACAGTGCCAAGAATAAAAACTTGCTTGCTAGATAACACTTATCCATAATGCCCCCATCTCCATCTAAAGCTTTTTCGTAAACGGGCGTATTTTGTGACTATGGCACCCTTGTTCTCATACAAAATGACTAAAACAGACCATGGTCATAGAGTATGTAAGCAATGATAAGACTATTCACAATTAAGACCACCCCACAATTAAGACAACTTTGGTCCCGCCTAGATGATGGTATTAATCAAGGGCTTTTAATGTATAAATGTAAAACAAAAGTTAAACTGTATAATGTGAAATAAAGGCATTATTTGAATTAAAATAGTTTCTTATTAAATCTAAAAGTAATCAATGTCAATCAAATTGTAATCATAATTACTGACTAAATTTTAGCTGTAATTGATTAATTACAATTAAATTAATCAAATTTGGGTAAGGTAATCAATTACATGATTATTACATTGTAATCATGTAATCAATTAAAAATCAATTATTACAATTAATGGTTACCCCAGGTCTGCTATTATCCCAACTGCTAGGTAAGTTGACATAACTCTGTCTTGGATTTTGACAAAAAATGACACTTTTTCGACATTTGGATAG